ATATAGATATATAGTATATAATACATACATACATATATATATACATATATATATATATATATATATATATATATTGTGTACTAACTACATTGTGTGATTTTATTTTGCTGTACAGAACCAGAAAGCGACTGAACCACATTACTGCATATGCTGACTTATGGTGAGAATTATCTGATGGCATTACCGGTTGAAATTTCTGCTACACTATAGCAATATGATCTGCTGCCGAGTAAACTGTTAGTCATGATGGCAGATGTGTAGCTGCTTCGTTATTGAAAACATATTACTGACGTTAGAACGATAGTAATATCTATATTAAAACAGTCAGAATGATATTAAATTTTGTATTTGGAAGTAAGAATGGTGACAGTTTTTATATTAACATTTATTTAGTTTTTATATTAGGAATGAGAATGATATTAGTTTTCATGTTAGAATTAAGATTAAAAATAGTTCATATATTAGAAGAATGATATTTGTTTTTGTATCAAAGTAGGAATGATTATTTGATAGTATGATACATTGATACGGCTGTGCAGACGGAAGAACAACGCGATAACATGTTAACAATGGTGTGGATTCGAAATGAAGATTGTTTTATGTTTATTGTTCCGTGGATGCATTGTACTCCATCGCTCGGTGACAAACCATACACGAGCCATATCATACGCTCATCACAGAACTACAAAATAGTACCAAGAAACTCCTGAGAGTCCCGGGGGCTTGGAGGGCGGTCGCTTAGCTATAAGCACAACATTGATACCGCACTTGGTTGCATCACTACCACAGTGGATTTGTGCGCTATCACCAGAATTTGCGACTTTATACACTGTTTTTGAAGACAAGCAAAATACTAGATGGCGCATCGCTCGACTTCCTCATGTGCATCAGATGTTAGCTGCCCTTTGCGAGAAAGAAACACAGTTCGCCCCCGTATTTGACCACAGCAACACCCCACTAATATAAGAGAAAAGCGGGCACTGACAACGTTCGTGAGTGCTTAATACGGCTTGAACTTGCGCTGCATACGCAACAGTTGTATCTTCTGCTTATCGTCCTCGAAATTCTTTCGCAAATCAGCAATTTCTGTGTAGAACAAAAAGAAGCGATGTTAAATGAGCGGTAAAACATTGCAATACATTTTGCGAAAGTTGAAGAACACCATTATCACGCGTTGGGAACGCAACCGATTGACATAAGTCTCAACAATTAACATAAATCAGATTGAAAAAAACACAAATATAGTATATATATATATAGACAAATATAGATGGATAAATACAGCTATACACACACAAAGGCACATACACACACACACACACACATATATATATATGTATGTATATGAATGTATATATACACTTGCATATACAAAGGCACATAGAGACTCATATATACATACACACAAACATATATATATACAAATATATATATATTTAGATATATATAGATAGATAGATATATAATATATATATATATATATATATAATATATCTGTATACATATATATACATAGATGAGCATATACGATAAGCACTGACACACTACACACACACACATATATATATATATAGACATAGTATATATATATACATACATGCATAAAAAATGCATTAACATATAGACGCACACACGCGTCTACATATACATACTCATACACACACATACACACACGCACATATATATATATATGTATACAGACAGATTGCCACTTATATGTGTGCATTTATATATATATATATAAATATATATTTATATATACATATATATATATATGTAAACCTATACCTATACATATACTTATACATATATATACCTATATATATATATATATATATATGTATATATATATATATATACGCAGATACTTTAAATATTTACATGCAGGTAAGCACATGCAGAAAATTCATAAGTATACTTTTATGTAGTGTATTTAGATATATATACACATACATACATACATACATACATACTTATATATATATATATATATATATATATAGATGTATATATATATTTATAATACATACATACATACCTACACACATAGATACATAGCTACATATATATATATACTACATCTCAAGATAGCTTATACGAACGCACGTGCCAATCGGATGATGCACTTTAAAGTATATATATATATAAAACTGTGTTATACGAGACACTCAGAAAGCAGAATAAGCCACACAGCACATACCCTCCCGTCTCGTTTCGCGTTGTTGCCACTTATAAAGATTAGACATGTCGCGCGTTTTCTTCTTTCGCAGGCGTTCCTCCTCGGCCAGATCGTTGAGGGCATTAGCCTTCTTGCCATACGACACAGTAACCCACCCATCGTCATCTGGTTTATTCTTGGCTGCTTTGCGCAGTGCCTTTCTCTTCGCTTCGAGCGCATCGAACTCTACCATAGCCTCAGCGATCTCGTTAGACAGTACTGATATATCCGGGTATGTATTCAACTGACATTCTTGAGCCCATTTCTCCATACCCACCGGTAATAACCTCTCAGTAGACTCCACTGCTTTCACATCCTTCTTCACTTTTATAAACTTCTCCAACTGCTTCTCACTCTTGAAAACCACGTGTGAAAATCGAGTCAAATCATCCTCGTCTTTGCACTCGCCATACAATTCCTTCGCTAGCGTGCGTGTGTGCTTCTGGTTACTCCGCCTGTGTATCGTTACTTTGCTGACACCCCCGGACCCCTGGGCTTTAAATATAGACATAATGGTACTTTCCGTATACGTTGTTGGTATGTTAGTCACGAACAGTGTGCGACCAGCGGGAGTCTCGTCGCTTTCCTCATCCTCTCTGACCACGTGTTTGCGCATGTAGACGTAGTGTTTCTTGGGCACAGTGACTTCCAGCGCGTAGAACCCACCGGAAATCGCACATAATGTGGGCATGATTGATATGGTTGTTAAATTCTAGCTGAACTACAAGGTAACGTTATTATATAGACAATGCTACCTGTGTTGTATGCGAGTTCGTAGGGCGTGCACTTTGTGATATGATAGTGATTAGGGTATGCACTTTGTGATGTGATAGTGATATATGGTGAATATTGTTCCGATTGTAAATAGAAGCAGCATGTGGTCAAAGTATTCGACCCGCCAAATTTCGGGGCAAAAATCACGGCTGGGGCGGCAGTGGGGGCTGTGGGGCCTGGGAGTCTGGGACTGAGCCTGGGACGCCGTGGAGACTGGCCGACTGGGACAGAAGGCGATCATTCAGAGAGCCAATTTCTTTTACAGGGGGGCCTGCAAATGGGGGAATGGTGTCACAGAACAATGCCTTGACAACAGCTGGTGATGATGATGTCCACGCACATACATACCATTGTTCTGATCTGAGATTACATCCTATTTGCAAATGCCCATGTTAAATCATATAGCTATAAACAGCTTGTTGTATACATATTTTGAGAATCAGCTTCTTCCCAAGTTGGATTTTTTAAGTTGCTTGCGTCTTTCGAGTTGTACGTTTCGTAGTTGTCTTCGACGTCGAGCGTATATACAAATAAGGAATCGTCGTTGAAATTTTATCTTACATACAAATGAGAAGCCATCTCTGAAACTTCGAATATATTCGTAACCAAGACAAACGATAGTCTCTGCGAGGTATATTTTTCGGTTAGAAGTAGCATATTTGCCGGGTACCTTGGTTATCAGGGAATATGTTTCTTGTAAACGAAAGGGCATAAATAACATCTGTTTGGGAGGCAGGATTGATAAATCACGCCTGCGCAAAGGTTCTTGAATTTTTTATATTACATTATTGTATCAATACAGTACGCATGCTACTGGCATATTCATAAGATGGCAGCAGCCCTTCCCACCAGTAGACCCGTGATCAAGATATGGAAGGGTGGGTCGTAGGTAGGCTGAAGTGCAGGAGCACAATATAGAAAAGAAACCGCAGTACAGATTGGGCCTTACTTGTCATATGTAGACACATTGTCTGAAGGAACACATTGAGAATATAAATAGCACTTCGGTGTGTACACTAGGCAGTGTTTGAATCTAAGACAACAGATACAGCATCCATCTGTGTGGGTTTGAGCTGGCCTGTCGAAAATATATTTGAAACAAGGAATGAAGAAATACTTATTGACCATTCAAGTGTGTGGGCTAGAGAGAAAGTGTACGGCTATGTGCAAAGCGAGAATAAAAGTTCTGCTCACAAAAAAAACCCCTACATTCTCAAGTCAATCATTCCCTGTGTTATTTGTTCAATATAAGTCAATTTAGAATAGACAACACCAATCTTTCACCCAATGTTTGGCAGATAGAATTGTCTCGAGTTCAATATAAAGTCACTTTAGTTAGACAACACCAATGCTTCATCCGTTATTTGGAATATTTTATTGTCTTGCGTTTTTGGGGTTTAAATACGATTTACTGACAATAGCCCGAGTTTTTGCATAGTGGCTATATTTCCTCGAAGTAGAACGACGCCCAAGTTTCATATTGCCCACTACTACAATCATAGAACAGCCATTTTGCGTGCAACTTATGTTTTTTAATCGAATGCATAAGTATGCACGAATGCTGACAACGGGTTATACAGACCTTCTTGTCGACATAGACATAGCTAGAACTCATTATAACGCTTGTATTTACTCCCTAATCTCGAATTGTTGATCATCTGCCGCCGCCTTCGCATCTCGATTGTTCATGGATACACAGTAGATACAATATAGCAGTGTCGCCAAGTATAATCCAGAAGCGATAAAACAGTTCCTTGCTATGTCGCCCTCTTGTCCTTCTTCGAAATCATGGTACAAGCCAATACTCTTTCTCTCGAATAGAACGCCAAGCACAGCCTGTGAACAAGCAAAGGGACTGAGGTATTAAACAATCGAACTGCTACCTACACTGGTCTGAGCACGGGGTAATATGTGCAGATAGGCGAATGAATATACAAATAGCATCAAACGACTGAGAACTCAAACGCCTGAATTTAGTGCGGGAATATTCATGCTGAGCATCTTCGTACACAGCTTGACTTAAAGAGAGAATCGTCATTGACGAGCACAATCTGAACTACCGACATAAGATCAAGGCAGTCATACCAATTGTATAATTCCCCACACACTTATGACTAGGCAGCAACTGGCCAATCCCGGGCCGCAGTATGTCTTCATCTTTATGTTCAGTGGAGAATTCGCCTTTCCTGTGAGTTGAATACAACGCAACGTCAGATCTTACACTCTTTCCTTACAACGTAAACTTCGGGTAGCATTACTAGCATCTCGTAGTATAGACCAGAATGCAAACATACGCTTGTAAAGTAGATACCGCCACCCAGCTATACCACTCGGATATGCTAGCTCAAATTCGAAAAAACAAAGATGTGACTCCGCCTTGTACAACATTATATACATAGAATATACATATTATATATATATATATTCATTCATACATAAATAACACACACACACACACACACTCATATCTATATTTATATTAATATATATGTGTGTAGAAATGCATATATATACGTTCATATATGTAAATGTGTATGTATATACATTTGCATATGTATACACACAGACACACTTATATATATATTTACACAGACACACTTGTATATATATTTACTACAGACACACTTGTATATATATATATATATATATATATATATGTACATGTACATATAAATACATACATACCTACATACATACATACATACACACAGACACACATATATATATACATATACGATGATTTTATACATAACACCCGTAGATATTTCATGTTATATATAGTTAATAATATATGGGAGTATACTGAAATATAAAACACGGATACTACGAATAAATGAGCATGTACAAATAACTTGTTCATATGCATGCAGAAGATGACGATGCGCATATATAAAACGAGGTCAACAAGCCCTATATCGATATCAGAAACAATACCAAAGTATATCGTATATATTATAATAGACATATATACCGACATATCGCCATATACATACATGCAATTTTTATAGATCTATACACATGTAAATACACATACATATACATATACATACACACACACACTTTAAATATATATATATATATAAATATATATATAAATATATATATATATATATATATATATATATATATGTAATACTTAACCTTAACACCTTAACTAAGTACTATATAACTAATAAACTAAATTAATTAATTAATTAATTAATTAATTAA